TGGCTCCCCGCATATGTCAGCTCCACATGTCAGCTCCACGGACCCGCCTCCCCCCTCTGCTGACTCCTACAGAGGTGGGGGCAGGTGGGAGCTGGTTGGAGCCAGCTTAAAAGCCAACTCCCCCCAGAACCACCTCCACGGAACCGCCTCCCTCCCCCCACACTGCTGCCTCTAGAAGAAGCAGCAGCATGGAGAGAAAGGGGAAAGGGGAGGGGCAGGGAAGGCTGCCATGAAGAAGCCTCTGTCCACAGCACACCCAGGCTTGCCAAGGACAGAGACTGCTCTGCTCTGTGGCAAAACCCGTCCGCGGGGGTCCAAGCTCCCTGCAGACAGAGACTGCTCCGGCATCCCACGAAGCAGCCTCCCCACGTAGACCACCTCCACCTGCTGCCCTGCACTACTGCCTCTGATTGAGAAGCAGCAGTATGGGGTGGCAGCAGGCCCTGTCTTGTGGGGGCCAGAGCTCCCAGCAGACAAGCTGCTCTATCCCTATCTGTGGAGGGTCTGAATTCCCCACAGACAGAGGCCTCTTTCTGCAGGAAGCTCAGACCACCCCCACAGACAGAGGCTGGTGCTGCAGAGCAGCCTTTGTCTGCAGCCACAAAGGCTGCTCCATAGGATGCCAGAGCAACTTCTGTCCGCAGGGAGCTTGGACCTCACTATGAGCATGGCAGGCGGATAGAGGCAGCAGCACAGGGTGGCAGGCGGGATGGTAGAGAGCTCCCCAGCTGCCATCCCCATCCCCATCGACTATCAATTAGTCATGTGATTGCTACAGTTTGATGCAGTTACATGACTAATCAATAACACACTAACATTCCTATTCTTGACATTCTTTTTTGGCCTTCCTAATCACAGTTTTACACTTCATTTTCCAGAGTTTATTGCTTCAATTCTATTTTCCTCAATTAAATTTAACTTCCACCTCCTAAACAATGAATGCCTTTTTGCCTTTCACTGTTTCTTTTACTTGTTGTTTAGCCATGGCGGCACTTTTTTGGTTTACTTTTTATGGGTTTTTTTTATGTGGAGTGTACATTTAATTTGAACCTCTACTATGGTGCCTTTAAAAAGTTACCATGTAATCTATGGTTCTTTATAGCTGAAGCATCACTGATCAGAGCAAAGATAGGTGAAAACACCAAACCACGCCCAGGCATAAACATTGCTTTTCCAAGGTTATGAACTGCAGATTCTTTTGCTAATCTAGAAGCAGGTGTATGTAATGAATGCTTTGGTTCAAGAAGGTTCTTTCCACAACTATTCAGACACAATTTTAAAATCAATGGTTTTAGAACCAACAGGGTTACAGACTCTGTGGCACTTAATCATGCTTACATTTTCAAGCAGACAACAACAAAAAATAGTAACTGCAAGGCGGGAGAAGCAGAAAAACAAGAACAAAAACCCACAGTGCACTGAGTGATAAGCAACTAAAGAGGAACTAAACTTCACTTTTTCTTGCTCCACATTCTCATCAACTGATGGAAGATGGATAAGTGGAAACCATGAAGCAGTAAACGCAATTTTATCAACAAATTGCATCCAGGTTCCATCAACCTATAAACGATCTTCCTTGTGAACTGACAAGTCTTAAAAAAAAATCCCATCACCTTTAAGACTAATTGGAACAGATGCAAATTGCTGCAACAGCCTTTATACTTCAAATACATTAATTTAGTTTGCATTGATCTTGGAGGAAAGATTTTTTTTCCTCCTCCAATATAGCGTGTCATTTTTATTAATGACCTTGGGACATAAAGTAGCAATGTGCTAATCAAAAAGTTGGGAGGAATGTATCAGTTGGAAGTGACAGGAGGAGAAAGGCCTGGGTGTACTGATTAATCACAGAATAACTATGAGCTCCCAGTGTGATGAGGCTGTGAAAAAGGCTAAATGCAGTCCTAAGATGCATCAGGCAAGGCACTGGTTAGATCTGATCTGGAATTCTGTGTGCACTTCTGATCACCCAAAGATGAAGGCAAAGTGGAATGGTGCAGAGAAAGGCTACTAGGATTACCCAATGAATAGAAAGCCTACCTTATAAAGAGGAGACTAAAGAGAGCTTTGCTTCTTGAGCCTAACTCAAAGAAGGAAGAGGAGAGATAGGACTGCTTCCTATCGGTACACCAGAGGGATAAATACCAGGGAAGGAGAGGAGTTAAGTTAAGCACCAATGTGGAGACAAGAACAAATGGTTATTAACTGCCTATCAACAAGTTTAGGCTCAACATTAGATGAAGGTTTCTAACCATCAGAGAAGAGAAGTTCTGGAATAGCCTTCCAAAGGCAGTGGGGGAGGGGGGGCGGAAAATGGCTTCAAGGCTCATCTTGATAAGTTTATAAAGGAAACGGTTTGAGGAGACTGTCCACAGCAGCACATAGCCAATCTCTAGTGGCCAGTGAGGAGATACTAAATGAGTAAGACTCCAAGTTACAGCAGAGAATTCTTTCCCCAGGTGTCTGGCTGGTGGGTCTCACTCACATACTCAGGATCTAACTGACCACCATATTGGGGTTGTGAAGGAATTTTCTCCCGGTCACAACAGGAGGCGGCCCTAGTGAGGTTTTTGCCTTCCTCTGCAGCATGGGGCATGAGTCACTTGCAAGTTTAAACTAGTGTAAATGATGGATTCGCTGGTGACTTGGAAGTCTTTACATCATGATTTGAGGACTTCAGGAACTTAGCCGGTGATTACGGGTCTATTGCAAGAGAGGGTGGGTAAGGTTTTCTGGTCTGCAAGCTGCAGGAAGCCAGATAGATAGTCATGATGGTCTCTTCCGGCCTTAATGTCTGAGTCTATTAGCAATGTGCTTTAAAACATTGTTCAAGATAAACTACCTTCTGTTTTAAAAAAAGAAAAAAGTTCCCTGAGTTATAATAATGAAAAACTATTTTCAAGAAAAATGCCAGAGAGGTCAACTGATGTTGGATGTAAAGTCTTCAAAAACAGCACTGTAAGTTCTTGAAGTGGGAATGGGATAAAGCAGGGGTTCTCACACTTCACTGCACCACCATCACTTACTTGACACAACAACAACAACAACAAAAAATGACATGATCTCAGAAGGAACCATCCAAATCCCACCACTGTGGCTTGTGGGATCAAAAACAAAACCTGAATCTCACTGCCCTGGACTGGGAGGAGTGGGGGAGGGGGGGCAAAGCCAAAGCCCATGGGCATCAGCTCCAGGCAGGGGACCTGTAACTCTAAGCCATACCACCAACGGCTGAAGTCCTCGCGCTTTGGCACTACACAATGGAGCTTAGGCCAGCCCCATTAACACAGGGTTGTGACCTCCTTTGTGCTCCCAACCTATACTTTGAGAACAACTAAAATAAAGTAATGGTACCAGTACATATACATAAACATGCACACTAAACAGAACCTTTATGGAATGTAATGTATGCTGAAACTCAACTTCACATCATGCATACAGTAAAACACAAGTTCACAGAATTCAGATGGATAGGGATATATACAATGAAATGAATGATTGCAGATTCCGAAGTGTTAGTACATTAATTGTTCCAAACTGAAGTCTATAAAGCACAGATTGACAACCTAGGCTAGTGAGTGGCCCACAAGATTGAAGTTAACAAGACTGTCTTCTGGGATAGAGTAGTTTTGCTAATTGTGTTTGCATACCTAGAATTTGTGGGGTGTGCTGATTGAACCATATCAGCGCTTTAACTGGATACAGAGAGAACGCAAGGCGCTCTCAGTCAATGTTGTATACAATCAGCAAACACCTTGCTTCACATGCCCTCGCTTTACGTCACTTTAGTAATACCAGTAAGAAAAAAAAACCATTGCAGATGAAAGCCAGCAGACTCTGGAAACCCTGTGCATGGACAACTGGTAAACAATGTGTCTCACAGGGCTCACACAGAACCCAGGTGGGCCACAGGTTTCCCACCATTGCTATAAAGACTGATCGCTATTTGGGCCAGAAATAGATTTGTATTAAATAACAGCGTATGCATAATTCACAAGAATTATTCAAGGAGAATAGCATTTTGCAGCAGAAAGCCAAATAGTTTTATTTTATTCCATAACGGAGTTGGAATTGAATGAGGCATACAGTTTACAGCAGCAATTATGAGACACAAAATACTAAGAGTCCGAACATCTATCTTTCTGCTACTTTAAATTAACATGAATGGAAGGAAATACTATGCTAGATTGCAGCTCAGTAAGATTTCATTTTAAAAATAAAAAAAATGGGCATATGTAATAGAATTCTATGCATGCAAAGATTTTAACATTCACAGAATATTGGACTTATTGCTCAGCAATTTCAAATAAGGTGAATATTAAGATCCCTGATGTACATGTAAGGCTCACTGACAACAATGAAAGCAAGACATAAAAGTTATTGCTTACATATTGCTTAGGGCTACATCAGTGTGCCTTTGATGGCTACAAGTTGTATGTATATGCAGCTGCAGAAAAATTACCCAGAAAGTTTTTAAGATCTGTTTTATGACTAAATTCTGTATATGAAGAAACAAAAGCATTTGAGAGAAAGCCAATGTATATTAAGAGACCAACCACTGCAATGCCTAGGGTAACATGTCTATGAGGGATAATTTGGTCTCAAAATTTGGGGCTAGCAACATGGAGATAACATGCATGGCTGCAAGCAGTAAAATCTGGTTTCTAGAGTTTTATGTCCAGTTTACTGAGGAACAACAAAGAATTATGAAGCAAGCAGTAAGAGGTTTTCTTGTCTCAGGGTAAAAGATTGGGGAAGGGAAATCTACCCTGAGTAGCTAGTATGCAAGGCCATACATAGAAAATACACTGGTGCAGTCAGGATGGAGAAAATGTTAATAGAGTACTCACATTTTAAGCAGAAGACACCAGAAATGTTAGACAATGAAATGTACAAATAGAGTGATCCGTTTAAAAAAAAGAGGACAAGTTATTAATGCTTTAAGTTTAGCTAAAGAAATATATTGATTAGTGAAGTGCACAACAGTGTATGCAGATTACCTGAGGATTTACTCATCTTTGCTGTAAATATAGCAGTAGATTTTTCCTTGTCTTTAACAGAAGCAACTTCTCTGTTATCTTCTTTCTCAAGAGCTTCAGGTTTTCCTATACTGACTACCTCTTTCTCATTGGACAAAGGTGAAACATCAGTAGTCAGTAACACCTTGGATACTTCAGGCACTTCTCTGACCAAAGCCTCTGAGGATTTTTCCAAGGCATGAATATTTTCTTCGGTTTTCCCTTGCATTTTCTTTAAAGACAGATCATGTGGTAGCTCTGTACAAGGCAAGTGACTGGTCTCATCTTTGATCATATTAGTAATCTGTTTACTTTCATCTTTGTGCAATATTTCTTTGTCCGTGCTTTTTGTCACCAATTTAGGAGCAGTTTTAGGACTGACTGATGTCATAAAGTCTTCTGTCAGTGGGACTGAAGAAGATTCTGTGGGTAAGAGAACTTTGTCTATTATTTTTGGTTCCTTAAAAACAGACTTAGCTGAATAGGCCACAGTACTCAACTCCTCCATTTGAAGAGGAAATTTTTCCTTCTTGGCTGTTTCTATAAAAGCTGACTCAGAGGGCAAAGTAGTAATAGTTATGGAAGATTCCAATTCAGGTTGGAAAGATTCCAAATACGGTTTGCCAGTAGAATGTTGCAAATCTGTAAGTCCCTCCTTATCATCATCACCTGTTTCAATCTTGTCAGCATTTTTAGCTGATTTATCTTCCACAATGAGAGATGATGCAACTACTTGTTCATTCTGAGGAAGCTCAGTTAGTGGCTGACCACTGAACACGGCAGTTTTTTTAAAGTGGGGTGACATTTTTTCAGAAGACTCAATATGTTCAGGCACATGCTGTGAAACACATTCTGTTATTTGTGTCTTTGAATAATCGATAAAGACTGGAGAAGCAGATTCACTGGAGACCTTTGTTTCTTTAATTAAGTCACAAGCAATAGATATATAAGGAGTTTCTATTTCTTCAGCAATTACACTATTCTTATGATCAGATTCTCTAAATAGAGTTTCCTCCTTTGCTTCTTCTGCCTCTGTTAATAATACATTCATTGCCTCTTTGTATGATGGAGATTTCCCAAACTCTTGTTTTACATCATCATAAACAACAACAGGAGTAAAGGCTTCTGACGGAGAGGCATCAAGCTGCCCAGCAGTAGCATCTGCACCACCCACTCCAGTGTTTAATGGAGCTTCCATAACAATATCAGGCAAGACTGGTGATGGAGCAGCTTCTATTCCTTCAAATGAGGGACAGAGCTGTATCACAGGTTTCAAAGGCTCTTGTAATGACTCAGATGTTTGAACTAAATCTATCTTTGTTTCATAAGCAAGTTTTGTACATGTTGCATCATGCATTTCACTTTCACATGCTTCTTGCACTAAATCTGGAGTAAGACCTTCAGGCATATTTGCTGTAGTGTCAGCAGACATCTCTGATAAACTATCTGTTTTAGTATAGTCAGCTTCCTGGCTTTGCCTGCCTACTACTTCAGTGATAGTATCGCTCTGTTCTGTGCCAATCTGGGCTTTCATTTCTGCTATTTTTTTCTCATCAGTTTTATTTTCTGACATCTCCTCCTCTAATGGAGAAAAGGTTTTAGCTATATTGTCCTCAATTGTTACAGCAGATTCAAATTTAGTACAAGTAATATAAGCTTGTGAAGATTCTTTTATAGCTTCTGGGGTGCTTGGGAAAGAAAGATCTTCATTACTGCTTTCACTTTTGTTTTCAAGGTCTTTTTGTACTGTTAGTATCTTAAGTTTATCTGTATTATATTTCTCATCTAAACTGCTTTCTAATTTGCCATCTACCTGATTTCCAGCAACCTCTTTCAAACTGCTAACTCCATGGCAAGTATCTTTAACCTCCCATATTGGCTCAAATGGTTTGAAGTCTACATATTCTTCCCTTACAGGAGTATTTTCTTTGAAAGCCACTTTTTCACCATGATCATCGCTATCATATTTTACTCTCTCAGAAAATGACTCTTCATTATTCTTTCCAAATAATTCAACAGGAACCGCTGGAGACATACATTGCTGATGCTGAGGGATTTTTTCTAGGTCAAACCTTTCTTTACTTCTCTCTAGCAGCTTTTCTTCTGCAGTCTGAGATAAAAGGGCTGTTTCTGCTTTAGCAAATGGCAATTCCATTTCTGAATATTCCATCTCTGGAACATCTCTGACATTTTTCTCAATGACAAATGGATTCTTTGCAATTTCTTTAGTTTCTTTATAAACCTCACTTTCATTTGTGTTGTTGTAAATGCCTCTTGCAGGTAATCCATCTGATAGGATATCAAAGGTTGCATGCTCTTTAAAGGAATCAGCTGAGAGAGGAGAGAGGGAGGGAAGAGAAGCAGCAGTGTCAAGCAGGACTGCAGTGAAATCCTCTTGACCAGACGACATAGTGCTACCTGGCTGCTCCTGCAAGTCCATAACTTTTTCTGTGACCATGGACAGAAAGGAAAATTAGAGAATGCAAGTGTTCTTACAGTTAAGGCAAATTTTATGACAAGTTCAAAAAAATATTAGTTATTAAAATATTCCTCTAAATACTACTACCCATTAAAATAAAGTATGGGTTAGGATATAATGTTATTCTATTTCACTTCTTCTTGCAAGCAGGGAAGTATGCAAAAAGGTTAGAGAAGCAGCAACTTTATGCAGTGCAAAGATTACAGTTAAGATCAAAAGATCAGAGGAGACTAGTATTACCAACCCAACCCAACTAAACTATCACTAACAAGAATGTTAGGCAACCATAACCAGGTGTATGTGTTGGCAGGGTGGGGAAGTGCTGAGAGGGGAATTCCTCCCCCTCCCCCCCCCCCCCCCGGAGGTGCTCCTTGGGTGGCACTGAGAGCACACCTGGGGATGTTTCGATGGGTAGCATATTAAAACAACCACCGAGTAAATACTGTACCATGGAGTTCATTTACACATAAAATACTGCAGAAAGTTATTACTGATTAAAGCTTTCACTAGTCAGTAAGAGCAACTATGCTTTAAAATTTTAAGCTTTTAATTGTATCACATGATTTCCTGTATCAAGAGTCCAAGAATCCACAGAGCAGTGTATAATATGCACTACCTATAGAAATAAATGTGTTTTTTTATAATCTTGAGCACATAAATTGCAACCTTAGAATTTAGAAGACAAATGCTATTCTTGGACCCATGCTTTAGTAAATGCAAGCTAATTGGAAGGAGTTAATGAGATGACAGTCAAAGTACAGAATGTACTCTAAGACAAAAGGCTAGCAGAAAGAACTTGCCTGCAGAAGCGTGCATCAGAGGCTCAGATGCAGCAGGAAGAGCAAAAAGGGTCTCATCTGAAAAACAAATACATAGAACCTCAGCAGAAATAAAGGCTAGGTAGTTTGAGAAGAAGAGTAAGCAAGCAAGTATTCAGTCCATAACTAGTAACAACGTGGAACTAGTATTAACATCCATATTAGAAACCACAGGACTATAAACAAACCAGAAAGCATGGGTGTCTCTGAATTCTCCATTTTAATCACAAGGGCTTTACCATGCGGTTAGATTGAAGTTAGCTGTGTTAGGTCGACTTTAATTCAACCTCCAGGTGGTGTCCCACAGTACTCCAATGCGACTGTGCTGGACAACTCTTTCAACTCTGCTGCACTCCCAGGTACACATGAAAATCTCTAGGGAACTTCTGAATTTCTTGTTTAGAGACAATCCCTTTCCAGGACTTACTGTTGCTGGATCCTGATGGTGGCGAAGGCACCTTTGGTAAGTGCACATTTGTAATCATACTGCAGTGGTTAAATACAATTGGGTTTGCCCCAAGCTATTGGAATACAGTGGCTGCCAGTCCACTTACACAGTAGGTGCTCCCTGGAAAAGTCTGTTTACGTATCTGGGGATGGAACAGGAATCCTCCCCTGCACACCTCTACTAAGCTGCCATGGAGGTACTCTGCAATCCTTCTCAGAACGTTTCTGGGAAGGGCTGCCTTATTCAGTCCTCAGTGGTAGGACACCTTACCATGCCAAGCCAACAGCAAACAATCGGGAATCATCAAAGCACAAACCCAGGTTTCTGGCCACATTCATGTAGCATCCACTTCCTGTCCTACTCTCTGGCACAGAGAAGACTGATAGGGTGCATGGTTTCCTTGGTGAAATAGGGGAAGTTTTGTAATGGACACCAGGGTTGTAGGCAACTAATTGAGCAGCCAACCCACTCAACAAGCCTAGGCTTGCTTATGGGTAAGTTGAGTCAATACTCAACTAGTCACTTCCCTCCCCCACTGCCTCTATCAGAGGCAGCAAGGGGGTGAAGAGCAAGCGCCAGCTTAAAAGCCAGTTCCCCCAAGCATCATCTGGGGAGGGCAGGGGAGGCAGAGGCGCAGTGGAGGACCCTTCACAAGCTGGGAATCAGCTGATTCCCAGCTCACAACCGGTCCCCCATCGCACCTCTGCCTTTTAAATGTAGTAAGAGCCTGCTTAGTCCTGGCTTGCACCACCCCAGGGAGCTAATCCCACTCTGCAGTTTAAATGTAGTAGGAGCCGGGCAGTAGCCTAGCTACTGCCACATTTAAACTATGGAGTCACAGCAGGGGTAGCACCCCCCCCCCCCCCCACATCGACTAATCTGATTATCTGCATTTTAACCTCCTTAATGGATACTAATGAGGCAATCTGCCTCTCTTTGCTGCCCTGTTTGTGATAGACTTGAAGGGATCATCCCAGAGAACAGCCATACTATGTGTAGTGGGGGGTGGGGAAGGTTGACCCCATGCTGAGTGTGCACAGCTGTGCCCCTCCTACAGATTTAGTTGGAAAAGGAGGGATGCAGTTTGCAAGCATCCTTCCCCACATATGTTGCTTACCATGCCTGCCTGCAAATCTGAGTTCTGCTGCCCAGCACTGGCCATGTCTTACACCTTTCTGGCAGGTGCTCAATTTAAAATGCAAAATTCAACCTTGTACCTAACACATGTGCTTTGTGCTGTGAAGTGCTTCATTCACAATAAAAGAGTTAACCTTCTGTTTTTAACAATGTATCTTCTGTAGGGTCTGCCCTTGCTGTTTTTTCCATGCAGCTAGAGACCTGTCAGCTAAGTTCCCTATAAGCTGTGTATCCATGCAGCTTCCTAACAAGCCCTGTGCAGGGGCTGAGGGCTGCTGCACAGACCACCACCTCTACCCTCCAGCCCCATCAGGGAGCTTCTGTGGACAGGAGAGAGGTGCATTCCTCTGGCCCCAGCGCAGAGCTGCCGCAGCCATGGCAGAAGTGGTTCTGTCTGCCGACCACAGGTCAGAATAGCCATGGGCTGGTGAGAAGGCAGCCCCTCTACCCTGGCTGCAGCAGCTCAGAGAAGGGCCCCATCCTCTGGTTGTGGTGCCCAACCCAAAGCTTCCCCAGAGTTGCTTCTGTCAGGGGACAGGTGCCCCTTCCCTGGGCCTTTTAGTCCAGACCTGCCCTGGCTGTGCCCACTGGAGCTTGGCAGCTGTGTAGAGGCAGCCTCTCAACTGGCCCAAAGATGTTACAGTGAGAGAGGGCTGGGAGTAGTCCTCTCTCCCCAGGGCAACCTGCACGCCTAACCTCTCATCCCCAACCCCAGCTCAGAGTCCACACCTGCAGCCACTGTTCTAATCCCAATCACTGCCCTATCCCTGAGCCCCTTCCCACACTCAGCCCCAACCCCACCACATACTATCTGTATGTGGAATGATTTTTATTACGTGATACATCATCTCAATATTGGTGAACATAAAAGTCATTCCATACATAGACATACACTAGAGGGACCACTATCTGTCTGTGGTACCTGTCCCCCACTCTAGCAGTTAGACTTTCACAGATTAGAAAGGTGGGGGAAAAACCATACACATGAAGACAGGTTTAACGAACTCATGCAATCCGCCCGCACTAATAGAACACAACTCAATGCATGGAGGTGCACATTGTTAGAAGTCAGACGTAGTGAACAGGAGGACAGGAAAGCATACAAGGAACATGAGTGTAACATGCAGAATGAGTGTTGAGGCTCATGGGGAAACAAGCAGACCTGATGAAGTGCCTAGTAAAGGTACAGGAAAAGCATCTAGAGCAGAGCTCCCCTGCATCCGCCGAGGTAGTAAAGATAGAGATTTGCGTTTCACCTTCCACCCCACCACACCACAAGTAGAGAACTTCAATGCAGCAAACCCGTCTACTATGTCCTGCACATTCCCCCAGAGTTACTATCCTTCTTACCAGAAGGGTATTGATTGACCTGTCTATTCAGATCACAGCAGCTCCCACTGTAGATTTACCCAGTCCAAACTGTTTACCAACTGACCCATAGCAGTCTGGTGTTGCAAGCTTCAACAGCATATCGCCTCTTGGTTCTTAGCTGTCAGAGAACAGGTCTCATTTTGGTATTTCTGTGCTTCAGGACAGGGAAAGCAATTCACAAAGTTCCATGAAAGTGGCCTTACGCATGTGAAAGTTTTGCAGCCACTAGTCCCCATACCACAGCTGCATAACTATGCAGTCCCACAGGTCCACCATGGTTGTATCCCGTGACCAGAATTGACATTCCATTGTGTCAACATGCCCGACTGCCACCAGCATATGACAATTGCTCCATTCAATGTGTTCCTACACATCTGCATGTATGCGGGCCCTTCCCCCCCATTCTTCCTTGTGCAGGCAGCTCCTAGCCAGGCTCTGGACAAATCACAGCATAATGCATAAGGTGTTTGCGATGCTTGCCACAACACTGTGCAGCTGAGCAGGGGCCATGCTGGCTTTGCTATGGCATCTGGGTGGATAGCCAGGGGGAAAAAAGGTGGAAAATTTCTTTCAAGAAGGAAGGGAAGGAGGAGGAGGGAGATAAGTGCAGCATGGGGTGCTGATGACATGTGCCCAAAACCACCCATGACAAATGTTTTATTCCAACAAGCACTAGGACCTAACCCCAAAATTCAATGGGCAGCAGGAACTGTGGGATGGCTAGCCACAGAGCATCCAAGTGGGAGTCAATGACTCAACCATAATTTCTGTTTGGCAACAATTGATTTTTCCTTACATTTCCAATGCAACCTGACATTTGCATGATGTGCATTTCTCAAGATTTCAACACCACATATGTTTACGTGGGACCTTCATACAACATTTCAGTATATTTTTTAGTTAGTTATAGGGATAGACATTTTGTAACTTGGAAAGATTTTAGAATCTGGAGGGCATCTCCAGACAGTTACATTTTATAGTACTTAAATGTTTGATCTGAGCTTAACAATGTGCATTTATGATTGACTATTAGCTGATTTTTTTTAAATCCTATATTTTTATTCAAAAGAATTTTTTTTGCTTGCTGCATAAATATATGCAGCATAAGTTACAGCTATGGCACACTTCAAAAGAGATCAACAGACCTTTCTAATTCCTACATTTCATTGGCATACTCTAGTAATGGCTTTTGTTAAATCTTTTCCCAAAGCTCTACTGTCATCTCCATTGTGGAGATGGGGAATAAGAGGTTTTCTAGGAAAAGTGAGAGAAAACTAAATGGTGTTCTATTAAACCCTTCTAGGGCTGCCAGGTGTCCAATTTTGAAGCAGACGGTCCAGTATTTGAGCTGTTTGGGAACCACATTGAGAAAATATAAATGAGAAAATACAGATGTCCGGTATTTTCTAAATAAGATGCAATGTAGATTGTGATGTAATGTCAAGTGTGTCCACTATTTTTGTTGAAACCATCTAGCAACCCTAAGTCCTCCTACACTTGAGAGTATTTCCTAGGATAATCCAGGGTATATAATAGGCATTTTTACAGAACTGGCATTTAAATCTATGAAACCCACAGCCAGTGGTAATTACTTCTGGGGGTTTTTTTGTTTTGTTGGGTTTTTTTGGTCTGTAAATATATGTTTTCATTTTACAAATAAAAAGGCTCTATTCCTTTTTCTTGCAGTGGTACTCTTAAAATCATACAAAATATAAACATAGCTAGGACTGAAATTTTGCCTCTTTTTTTTTTAAATCAACTTATTCAGTGACCAGATCTCTCAACAGCACAGTATGAGGAGCAAAATGATATAGCAGAGTAAATATAAAAAGTATTAGCTTTGTCACTTGATCTTTCAGTCTTTGCTTCCTGCTCAATAGAAGAAAGATATGCCTGACCTGCCACGGAGTTGTTGTTGGAGAAAGACTAAATCTTAAGGTATTATATTATAGATAATGTAATATCGACACATTACGGAATGAGAGCCAGAGATAGAAAGATTTAGTTAATATTTATAAAGTGCTAATTTAAAAGTACTAATTATCACCAAAAAGAACAAAAAACCCTTCTGTGGCTAAATCAT